GTAACAGACTTAGAAGGTGGCAAACAAGGCAAATCAAAGTGGATTCCTATTGTTGCAAGTTTATCCGCGATTTTTACCGTCATTCTGTTCTGTTCTGGAGGTATTTTCTTTTGGAGAAGGAGAAATTTTCAAGGTATGCATTGGATCTTACTTGCTCTTCACTTTCTTCTTGACTCAATTGTTATCCCAATTAATTGTTTTCTCTTGAAGAGAATATAGATCATGACAGCCATGAAGTTCACTTAATTGAATTAGGAGGAAGAGCTAGCGATGAATACTCAAATGAAAATTTCCAAGGTGAGAGTGGGGTGAGATCTAAGGAGTTCCCTTCGATTCAGTTAGATATTTTACAAACAGCAACAAAATAATTTTGTTATGAAAATAAACTTGGAGAAGGTGGATTTGGCCCTGTATACAAGGTAACTATGGTGATAGAGTATTATACTTTTAGAATACGATGCACCTCTTCAACTTCATATAATTAGTTCTTTTATGATGCTTTTTAATTCCTTCTTTTAGGGCAAATTGGCAGATGGAAAAGAAATTGCAGTTAAAAGCTTCTCTAGAACTTTTGGGCAAGGGTTACTTGAGTTCAAGAATGAAGTCGTGTTAATTGCCAGGCTACAACATAGACTCCTGGGCTGCTGCTTGGAGCAAAACGAAAAACTGCTTGTCTATGAATACATGCCCAATAAAAGCATTGATGTGTTCCTCTTTGGTTTGATCCTTAAACAAAAAATTATTGTTTCATTCTGTTTTTTAACAGGATTCTTCATGCAATATGGTAAAAAATCAACTAACTACTATTATTCTTTTGGGTGGTCCTTTCCAGATTCAAGCATTGGTGTGCAACTGGATTGGCAGAAGCGCCATAGCATTATTAATGGCATTGCCCGAGGCATCGTGTATTTACATGAGGATTCTCGTCTTAGAATTATTCATAGGGATCTTAAAGCTAGCAATGTTTTGCTAGATCACGAAATGAACCCAAAGATATCAGATTTTGGAATAGCAAGAATTTTTGGTGGAAATCACAATGAAGCAAATACAAATAGAGTGGTTGGAACATAGTTAGTCCACTATCCCACACACTTCTAGGCTCACAATTCTTTTTTTTTTTTTTTACCAATCTTGGTTCTTCAGTAGTTTTCTTTTGATCTTTAATATTGCATCTGTGTCAAATAAAATTTTATTGAAAAGAAAGAATTAGCATTGAACTCGTACAATGGAAAAGCAGTACATCAGATTACAGTCTTTGCTAAGGTTTATTCTGCAGAGGAACTTGGCTGTTCTTTACAATCTAAAATTTGTAATCATACTTCAATTTTATGATAGAATAATGTTCAAACTTAACAATTCTTGGTTTTGATATTACCATAATCTAACCTAATTTATCTATTCCTTTGAACTGAAATAGTGGATACATGGCACCAGAGTATGCTATGGAAGGACTTTTTTCCGTCAAATCTAATGTTTTCAGTTTTGGGGTCCTTTTTGCTTGAGATAATAAGCGGTAAAAGAAACAATGGCTTTCATCTTTCAGAGCGTGGTGAAAGCCTCCTAACGTTTGTATGTTTTTATCCTATCTTTGTGTTAAAAAAATAGATGGCTGTAGTACCGTACCATTCTAATTTCAGGAAACATTACAGGCATGTAAACTATGGTCTAAAGGTCAAGGAATGGAGCTATTAGATCCGGTACTTGTTCAATCGTGTGTGGCCACTCGGGTTCTTAAATGAATCCATATTGGGCTATTGTGCGTGCAAGTAGACCCAGCGGGACAGACCTACCATATCATCTGTGATTGTCATGTTGGCAAGCGAGACCATAACACTTCCTCTACCAGCAGAACCTGCATTTTCTGATGGACGTTTTGTTGCAGAACCAATTCAATCCACTTCAAATGATAGATTCTGTTCTGTTAATGAGGTTACAATTTCAAATATCTCACCTCGGTGATTGATTAGTGGTTGCATCTTCCTTTATTTCACTATTCTAAGGATGCTAGCTTCTCAACACTTACTAAGCCTATTTTGGCTGAGATATGTTCACATATCAATATACAAAAGAAAAAAAATTGGCTACAGATTCAGTCGTATTTGATTTTTTTTCAAAAGTGTATCTATTTTTATTCAAAGAATTACATTCAGTCATTTACTATTAAAATTAAACAATACTTATTACACCAAAACTTTTTATAATTCAACTTTTTACAGTGGCTAATTTTGAGGCTACAAGGTTGTAGGTGTCAACAATTCAACTGTAAAAGGCTGCTGGAAGTCAAAATTTCATGGGGACTCCAACTGAGGGAATTAAAACATCTCTATCATTCTCAAGATTGAAATTGCTGGGGGAAAAAAATAGTGACTTTTACCAAACGGAACATGCCCCGACACTTCGTGCACATGTAGGTATACCTGTAATTTGTCATCAAAATTGAAGTGTCCTTCCCACCATTGCAATATTGTATTCTGTCAAAAATTTGATATATGTGAATTCATTGGCAGGCCTGGGGACTATGGAAAGAAGGAAAACAACTGGGACCAGTGGACCCTTATTTGCTCTTCCTGAGGCAAAAGACCTGCTTTTGCCTGTTGGCAGAGTTATTATTGTTGATCAGCCTTTCTACAATAGATTCATTAATATATCTGATGACAATATCTAATATCTCAGCCCGTTGAATACATTTGGCCGAGTAAAAAAAATTGATGAATTTAATTTAACTACTCTAAATTATTTTTGATATGATAAAAGTTCAATGTTCAAAATTTCTATTCCTTTTTGTTCATATTGATGACATTGTTCTGTTAACAGGCCATCTAATATTTACACCCTTTCAATTTACCAGATTTTAATAATTGTCTCACATGTATGTATGCAAAGCATAATTATTAGTCAGTTAAAATATTAAAAAAAATCTTTGAATTATTTTATTATTTTAAAATAAACTCTTATATTTTTATTATATCTAAATAAATTTTTATAATTTGATTTGTATCTAAATAAATTTTCATTTCAAATAAAAGAATAATTTATAAAGAATTATTTATGTAGAAATTACAAGTTTAATAATTTATTTACATACAAATTAAATGTTAAAGGATTATATGAGTGCAAATTAAATATTAAATATTTATTTAAATATAATAAAAATATAAAAATTTATTTAATTAAAGTTATGAAATTTAAGAGACCTTTTTTTTTTTTTGTTATTTTAGCATTATTAGGACTTCTAATATTTAAGGACAAGTTTAGACAAAACAAGCTATCCAATGCGGTTCGTTGATCATTGAACTCTCTGTTTTGGGCAGGTCAAGGTATCCCAGCGTCGTCTGGCTTTAAAGCGGTGAAAGGGCTAAAAGCATCTTCCTGGAACTACTCCAATTATTGATAAACTTTGCCGCCCATTTGTTTATTTGCCTAAAGTTGTACGTAAATTCAATGATTTTCTCTTCTTTTTTCTTTCTCTTGAATATTCTATTTGCTTCTTGTTGTTAGCAAATAATATTCGACTGCGTCTTGGAAACGACTTCTACCTCAAGTATCACAGTGGGGGGGTGCATTTGCTTCTTCTTGTTAGCAAATAATATTCTAACTTTGCGTTGAATCGACTTTTACCTCGAATGTCATCTATTAGAGTTGGAGAATTAGATTTAATAATTTAAAATATAATAATATAATATAAATATAAATATAATATAAAAATAAAAATGATATAATTTTAAATTTTAATAATAATTATATATAAATTTAATAAAATAAAAAATATATTATATATTTTTATATCGATATAAATTATGATATATAATTTTTATATAAAATATAATATAAATATATAAAATTTAATATTTTGTAAAAAATAAATATATCTTTGAAAAACTTTACTTGTTGATCCCAATTTAAGTTGAAAATTGCAATGTCGTGACTGGTTTACTGGTTTTCCAAGACGTTTAAGTGCTTTCTTTTTCTAGGGGAAGGGTTGATACCGGCGATAAGTGATATAGTTGATAATAAAAAGTTTTGTTAACGAATTTTTAAGATTAATTAATATTGTATTTATGATAATATTTTTGTTTAATGAATAATTGACAATTAATATATCAATTTTTAATATATTGAAAGAAAATATTATTTAATATAATAATTTTAAAATGTTTTTTTAAAGATTTTTGTTAGCAAAATTCAATAATAAAAATTTATTTTATAATTTTTTTAAAGGAAAATTTACAAATATAGAAATAAAATTACTTAATTTAAGTCTTACACGGCGTGTCTAAGTGACTGTACTTAGTGGCTAAGTCTCCAGCTGTTTTGACAATACATCACTTCTAGAAAGAGTAATGACGTCACCTCCGAAAATGATATTATGTCACTCCACCATATTAATTCGTAAGCAAAGGTCCTCTTATTTTATAAATATAAGTATTAAAATTATATCAATATTATTGTATAATAATAAATTAATACATAATAATATATGCACAAAACTGATTTATAGTAACATTAATCATATACATAGAATGAAAGCATATATGTGTTTTATAAAAAAAATAAAATTATTTTATAGGGTGAAGACTATTTAACCTTTTACATTTGATCAAATTTTAAATTATAATCAATTTCACAAATAAAATTTTTATTAATTTATTGAGAGCCTTTATTCAATTATTCTATTGTAATAAACTAAGCTTTAACAAAGTGGTAAATCTTAAAAAATAGTAGAGAACTTAGATAATAATAATTACCTTAGCTAAGTAAAAGCTTGGTAACGACATAACATAAATAATTAATCAGAAATTTTCATGATGATCAAAACAATTAATAACATTTTTTTTAGTGTTGGAGAAACAGTACAGATTATGTTTGTGCCGTGCTTGGTCAAAAAAGGTTAAAGAATGTGGGGATAATTTCTTCTGCAGACAAGAGTTGTGGAAGTGAACGAGTCAGAAGTCTCAGTTAATAACCCATTCCGGACAAATTATGGCCTTAAAATTCAGATTTCTGAATTATTGAAAAACATTGGAAGAAAATGCACTATTATGTTGTTCTTTCTGTTTCAGGAGCATTTTACCTGCTCTTCTTTCTTTCTTCTCCGCTCCTTGTTATCTCACAAAACATGTCCGAAATACAGCCGACTTATCTCTCTGCAAGTTGCCGGGGAAGATATAATCGTTCCAGCCAGTTCGATTACAACCTTCAGCGCCTTCTCATCCGCCAGCTTTATGATCAAGGAAGTAATTATGGTTTCTTTAGCGATACAAAAGGGGAAAATCAAGACAAGGTTTATGGCCTTTTCCTCTGTAGAGGTGATGTTCAACTCAATATCTGCCAAAGCTGCATTGACGCAGCAACCGCTAAGATCTTGGAGGAGTGCGCTAATGACAAAGAAGCGATCATATGGTATGATGAATGCCTTTTGCGCTATTCCTATAGATCTTTCTTCTCTATCATGGAGCTATCACCTTCTATTGGTATGTATAATATTAAAAATGTAACGGATCCTGATAAATTTGAAAAGAATCTCGCCGAGACTTACAACAATCTGATTACGAAGCTTTCAAATGCTTCTAACCGCATGTATGCAACTACAGAAGTTAATGTTTCAATTTCTATGAAGCTGTATGGACTTGCTCAATGCACCCGTGATTTGTCAGTTGCAGACTGTCAATCTTGTCTACGTAGCTCAATTGCTGTAATCCCATCTTTCGCAATTGGAAAACAAGGTGCGAGAGTGTTAGGACCAAGCTGTAACATCAGGTATGAGATATATCCATTTTATGGAAAACCTCGAGACGAATCACCAAACAATACGATTATCAAGAATCCTGGAGTTGAACCAAAAGCACCCCAACCTTCAGTAAACAAAACCAGTGGCTCAAACGGTTAGTATCATCAGATGCTAGAGAATTTAGCTTGCCTAATTTTTAATTACTGAACTTTTCATCCATCAAAAAAGAAAGTAGGACAAATACCTGCTACAGAAACTAATTATAAATGAATTCATATCCGTAAAATAGAAACAGCAAGAAGAACACAAAAATTAGAAATTTATTCCACTAATAATCAAGTGAAAGATAACTTTCTTTTGCAGTAACAGACTTAGAAGGTGTCAAAAAAGGCGAATCAAAGTGGGTTCCTATTGTTGCAAGTTTATCCACGATTTTTGGCGTCACTCTGTTCTGTTCTGGAGGTATTTTCCTTTGGAGAAGGAGAAAATTTCAAGGTATGAAATTGGATCTTACATCCACTTCATTTTTTCTTGAAGAGAATATAGATCATAACAGCCAAGAAGTTCAGTTACTTGAATTAGGAGGAAGATCTGGCGATGACTACTCAATTGAAAATTTTCAAGGTGAGAGTGGGGTGAGATCTCAGGAGTTTCCCTCGATTCAGTTAGATATTTTACAAGCAGCGACAAAACAATTTTGTGATGAAAATAAACTTGGAGAAGGTGGATTTGGCCCTGTGTATAAGGTGACCATGGTGATGGAATGTTATACTTTTAGTATACGATGCACCTCTTCAACTTCACATAATTAGTTCTTTTATGATGCTTTGTAATTCCTTCTTTTAGGGCAAATTGGCAGATGGAAAAGAAATTGCAGTTAAAAGGCTCGCTAGAACTTCTGGGCAAGGGTTACTTGAGTTCAAGAATGAAGTGATGTTAATTGCCAGACTACAACATAGAAATCTTGTGAGACTCCTGGGCTGCTGCTTGGAGCAGAACGAAAAACTGCTTGTTTATGAATACATGCCCAATAAAAGCCTTGATGTGTTCCTCTTTGGTTTGATCCTCAAACAAAAAATTATTGTTTCATTCTGTTTTTTAACAGGATTCTTCATGCAATATGTTAAAAAATCAACTAACTACTATTATTCTTTTGGGGGGTTCCTTTCCAGATTCAAGCATTGGTTTGCAACTGGATTGGCAGAAGCGTCTTGGCATTATTAAGGGCATTGCCCGAGGCATCCTGTATTTACATGAGGATTCTCGTCTTAGAATTATTCATAGAGATCTTAAAGCTAGCAATGTTTTGCTAGATCACGAGATGAACCCAAAGATATCAGATTTTGGAATGGCAAGAATTTTTGGTGGAAATCAAAATGAAGCAAATACAAATAGAGTGGTTGGAACATAGTAAGTCCACTATTCCATGCACTTCTAGGCTCACAGTTCTTTTTTTTTTTTTTTACCAATCTAGGTTCTTCAGTAGTTTTCTTTTGATCTTTAATATTGCGTCTGTGTCAAATAAAATTTTATTGAAAAGAAAGAATCAGCATTGAACTCATAAAATGGAAAAGCAGTACATCAGATCACAGTCTTTGCTGTGGTTTGTTCCGCAGAGGAACATTGCTGTTCTTTATAATCTAAAATTTGTAATCATCCTTCAATTTTGTGACAGCACAATGTTCAAACTGAAAGATTCTTGGTTCTGATATTTCCATAATCTAGCCTGATTTTATCTATTTTTATGAACTGAAATAGTGGATACATGGCACCAGAGTATGCTATGGAAGGACTTTTTTCAGTCAAATCCGATGTTTTCAGTTTTGGAGTCCTTTTACTGGAGATTATAAGTGGCAAAAGGAACAATGGCTTTCATCTCTCGGAGCATGGTGAAAGCCTCCTAACGTTTGTACGTTTTTATCCTATCTTTGTAGATGGCTGTAGTGTTGTACCATTCTAATTTTAAGTAACATTGCAGGCATGGAAACTATGGTCTAAGGGTCAAGGGATGGAGCTAATAGACCCGCTCCTTGTTCAGTCGTGTGTGGCCACTCAGGTTCTTAAATGCATCCATATTGGGCTGTTGTGCGTGCAAGAAGACCCAGCAGACAGACCTACCATGTCATCTGTGATTGTCATGTTGGCAAGCGAGACCATAACACCTCCTATACCAGCAGAACCTGCATTTTCTGTTGGACGTGTTGTTGCAGAACCAATTCAATCATCTTCAAATAATAAATTCTGTTCTGTTAATGAGGTTACAATTTCAAATATCTCACCTCGGTGATTGATTAGTAGTTGCATCTCCCTTTATTGCACTATTCTAAGGATGCTAGCTTCTGAACACTTGTTAAGCCTTTTTTGGCTGAATGACACCGAAAAATGTACTTAAACCTTTTCAACAAAAGAATGGGAGATATCTACATAAATCAATAATATACAAAAGAAAAAAAAATTTTGGCTATAGATGTATGTGATTTTCTTTTTTGAAGTATATCTGTTTTTATTCAAAGAATTAATTCAAGCGTTTATTATTAAAATTAAACTATACTTATTCGACCAAAAGATCAAAGAACTTTGAAAATAAATCATAAAATATTTTTATATAATAGTATTGAAAAAAAAAAAAAAAAAACCTCCTTTAGATGAATGGAATGGTAGGGACACATTTGACAGAGGATCAAAGAAATCTAAATGTAATGAAAAAAGTATGTTACAACCAGGAGCACTAACTTCCAATCAGTGCGCCTGCGATTTTAAGGCACCATGAATGTGAAACCGGCACTTGACATTTATCTCCAACTCCCATCCCATCCATCAAAGACACGTAAATGTCTTTACATCTTTCAAGGTTGCCTAAGACGGCCCATTAAATTGGCTACACCTGGTTTTTCACTGTTGGCGTCTTGAAGTACAAGTCTTTTAGTGCCGGTGGAAACCCCATATTGAGAAACTCATCTCTGTTACGGTCCGAGGAAAAAAGAAACAGAAAAAATGTTTGTCTACAAGTCCTTCAGAACTCTGTTGTTCCTCTCCTTGCTTAGCTTTACCATTGAAGCGCAACAAACTTACCTCTACCATAGTTGTTCGAACACGACCACTTTTCCCACAAACGGTACTTACCAAGCCGATCTCAATCACCTGCTCTCCTCTCTATCCTCCAACGCCACCCGTGACAATCGATTCTACAGCACAACCTCTGGCAGAAACTCTGACGTGGTCTACGGGCTGTTTCTCTGCAGGGGTGATGTTTCAAATAGTAGCTGCCAAGAATGTGTCTCTACCGCCATCAATGACGTCACTCAACGTTGTCCTGTTGAAAAAATTGCTGTGATTTGGTATGATAATTGCCTCTTACATTACTCGAATCGATCTATCTTTTCCATTGCGACCGTTTTTCCTGCATTCTATATGTGGAACACGGGAAATGTCACGGACCAAGAGCGTTTTGACCAGATACTGGCTGATACGATGAATAATGCGGCAACCCTGGCTGTAAATGCTACGTTAGGTTTAAAAAACTTTGCGACAAGAGAGGCGAATATTTCAGGGTTTCAAACACTGTACAGCCTTGTGCAGTGTACTCCTGACCTGTCAAGCTCGGATTGTAATACGTGTCTGCGAGGAAATATAGCGGCTCTGCCCAATTGTTGCAATGGAAAGCAAGGGGGAAGAGTGCTGAATCCTAGCTGCAACATTAGATATGAACTTTACCAGTTCTATAATCAAACTGCAGTTGCAGTTCCGTCACCTCCGTCTGTGATAATACCTCCTTCTCCAGCAGCTCCAGGTGCAGTCATACCAACCGTACTATTGCCTTTTTATTTATTTTTGTTAGTTGAGTTAAATAATTATATTTAGGACGATTATATGCCTTACAGTTTTCTTCCAAAATATTACCCACACTAAAATTTGCCATTAATTGATGGAATTGATGGAATTGAGGAATTGACATTGGGAGAGATTGCGCTGCAGAGACATCTGGAACTAAAAGTCACAAATGAATTTGAATTTGATTTTATTTGATAGTTGTAGCCTTCCACATATCCTCTCCACCTTCTAAAGTATGCTTTATGGTATTAGAAATTATCGTGACACATCTTTAATTCTTTATTGCTTCTGCAGGGAAAAGCCAAAATTCGTGGCAAATAATTATTGCCATTATTGCTCCAATTTCTGCCTCTGTTTTGCTTTTCTTCGTGGGTTGTTGTCTATTAAAAAGGAGAGCAAGGAAATACAAAGCTATAGAAGGAGAAAATGGTAAAACACAACTTATTTTGAGCCAAAACAATCTCAGTTCTTCGGTTTCACCCTGTTCTTTGATAATGTTTTACAGAATATGACATTTGCTAGTTTGATTTTACAGCAGGAAATGATATAACCACAATAGAGTCACTGTAGTATGATTTTAGCATGATACAAGTTGCCACAAACAACTTCTCAGATAGGAACAAGCTAGGAGAAGGTGGTTTTGGTGAAGTTTACAAGGTATTATTAGTATTTAATGACTTGTAGCCATTTTATCCATGCAGCCATTTTATCCATGCATACAGAGTCCAAACTCAAACTCTCAGAAAGCTTTTCTAATGAGGGGTATCTTACATTCGCAGGGTACCCTTCCTAACGGACAAGAAATAGCTGTTAAGAGGTTATCGAGAAGTTCAGGGCAAGGGGTGGAGGAATTTAAAAATGAGGCTGTATTGGTTGCCAAGCTTCAACACAGAAATCTAGTGAGACTACTCGGATTTTGCTTGGAAGGAGAAGAAAAGATACTCTTGTATGAATTTGTGCCCAATAAAAGTCTGGACTATTTTCTTTTTGGTACGTGTAATATACTGTTGCAAGAATTTTGTTGGGACTTTTAATTGATTTTAAACACTGCCTAGAGAGATACATGGGTATATCTTAATCTTAGATTTGCTGTGTGAACAAAACTGCTTATTCATTTATTTATTTATCTATTTATTTTTATAGATCCTGCAAAACAAGGACAATTGGATTGGTCAAGACGTTACAAGATCATAGGAGGGATTGCTCGAGGAATGCTTTATCTGCATGAGGATTCTCGGCTTAGAATCGTACACCGGGACCTCAAGGCCAGCAATATATTATTAGATGGTGAAATGAATCCAAAAATTTCAGATTTTGGCATGGCAAGGATTTTTGGTGTTGATCAAACTCAAGGAACCACCAGAAGAGTTGTTGGTACCTAGTAAGTTTTGAACATGTTTAGCATTTGTTTGCATAAGTTTCATACGCAATTTAACCATGAGTTGTTGCATCCTAATTGTTGAACAACTTAAAGAAATAAAAGCTCATTTTGGTTATACCCTGCTTTTAATGGAATTTAGGAATCCTTGTGACATATTAACACCTCCAGCTAAATCATTTATAACAAGCTATCCTGATTGTTGTTAGCATAAATAAATTATTAGATCAAACTAAAACTTTTTGTTCTTGTCATTATACTAACATTGCTAATGGTTCTAGAGTGGCTACATGTCTCCCGAATATGCAATGCAAGGGCAGTTTTCTGTGAAATCAGATGCATATAGTTTTGGTGTTTTAGTTCTCGAAATTATTAGTGGCCAAAGGAACACTAATTTCTATCAAACAGATGGACCTCCTTAGCTACGTGAGTATAATTCAGCCTATACGAAAAACGAAATTAAAATTTAAGGTGAGGTGACTTTTTAAATCTTACTTGATGAACCACTGCAGGCTTGGAAACATTGGAAGGATGGGACGCCATTGGAATTGTTGGATCCTATTCTGAGGGATACTTACTCTAGAAATGAAGTCATTAGATGCATCCAAATTGGGTTATTATGTGTTCAGGAAGATCCAGTTGACAGGCCTACGATGACTACTATTGTTCTCATGCTTAACAGTTACTCTGTCACACTACCATTACCTAACCAACCGGCATTTTTCCTTCACAGCAGAACAGAGGGAAGTATGCCAAACAAGGAGATGGAATCTGATCAATCCACTAGTCGATCAATGCCATGGTCTATCAATGAAGCATCGATTACTGAATTAGACCCTCGGTAAAGTGAGTTAATAGATGCTTCCTTAGTATAGAAAGCAATCTGCCAATGTTGAATAAGTCCTTTTTCTGCCATTGCTGTGAATATTTGGTATGATTCAGTAGTGGTACTTGTGTACTTGATCCAGTCACTTTATGTATGAACTGGACATACAAGAGTTATTTACCCCCAAAATCTTGATATTCTGTAGTATTCTACATGTTTTATTAAATCAACTAAGCTGCTCATCGTTTGTCTCTTGCAGTTTTATATGCTAATGAAGAAGCTATATTTAACCCGTAAATGTGCTTATTGTAGAATTATCTTGGCTTGAACAAGTCATTTGGGGAAGCATAATTTTCCCCAAGAGAAAACAAAAGTAAATGTTTTCAAACGAATCAGCATTAGCACTAGTATATAAATGAACTTATAACAGTTAAGTTGAAGAAACAGTAGCTAGCAGCCTGATGATAGTTACATTTCTTTAAGAATTTTATACAACAATTAATTGATATCTTTACTGTTATTCTTGAAATCATGAATGTAGCAAACTCCATAGTTTTCTGTGTCCGGATACCCTATTTCCTTTCCAATGCCCTACCTCCTGGGAATTCAGGTGACACGTAAGAGATACTACGGCGAAGCTGAGTACCCACTTCATAAGACTACATTTCTCTTTCTCTAATAACACCACTATCCTTTAAAAAAAAAAAAAAAAGAAAGACTCGGCACAATGCAGTATGGATTTTATAAGGAAAACTTTTCCTATAATAAGCCACATTTTCTAATAGAAAAAAGGTAACTAAATGATTTCAGGACTGATTCATCTTTCCGAAATATCTTTTTTCAGGAATTAAAATTGCCCGTTAGATATCATTCATCCACTTCAGTCGCCATTAACGAATTTTCTATCACCTTTTTTTCCGCTTTCATCTTAATTTATTCAAGAATAATCTCCCGAGAGACCAAAAAATAATATTATGGCTTTTGATTGGGACTGAGAAGGGTGATTAGACTAGAGCAAAGTTTTGCATCTTTACCAATCGCCATCATTGCCTGCTTGATTTGAGAGTCCACAGTTCCCACTTCCCCATTTCAGACGCAATTATTTTAGCTTTTGTACTTGTTTTTTTTTTCTAAAAAAGAAAAAAAAACAACTTTGTCTAAGAAAATTCAACCAAATTAATATGATTATGGCTAAACCCTTTGATACCGTATCTGCGTAACAGTTAACAACACTTTGGTTTTTTTTTTTTTTATATAGAGGAATAACTTTGTTTCACTCATTTAATTTTAAATCAATGAAATTTAATGAAACTCAATCAGGGCATTCCTTTACCCAAAACATATCCTTGTCAACAAAAAAGTGAACATTAGAGCACATAGTTAAAGTCACTTAATCAGAATTATTGCCTAACAACGTGTGAAATTCTCAATAATTACTCCGTAATCCTCACTTCTCTGACAGAGATGACCAAGCGGCGGCAGAATTTTACCCGGTTTCCTGGAGAACAAAATTAGACAGGGAACTAAGTGACCGGCCTGCATGTTTTTACATGAAAATTTTGAAACCAAGGGAACTTGGCTTTCCAAGTAAATACTGTACTTTTTGACTTGTCAAAGTCAGAGTTTGACCAACAAACCAAGGAATTTTCCCATGTTGTCATGGACTTGTTTTAGCCTCGCATTAATTACCATTCTGTTTTTGGCCAGATGCCGTGTTCATTACCTCTTGAAATGGTAACGTTTCAAACTCTAGTTTTTTGTCAAGATTCAACAAGGACTGGGACGTACTGACACCGCGTTGCTGTAGCTTGCTTAGAATTTTAATCCGTTCCGTATGCATCAAGCATGGATTTTTCATCTTAAGGAAATTTTTTACAGCTTTGTGTTTGAAACGTTATCACTATCATTAGCTATCAATTTCAAAATCGCGAAAGTTTTAAGCACGTTAACACGATGTTGATTTTGTAAACAATCAACTCCATGATAGAAGGAGCATTGATCATTATAATATAAACTATGAAAATCATAGGTCCAATAAGCTTTGGAGACGCAGAAGCAGAACACTACTGTACTCCGCAGGCAAGGCAATGGATTTTTCACGGCAGTTTTTCTTCTCTTCTTTAACTATTGCATTCCTTCTTACTCTTACCATTGCCCAACAACAGCCTCTATATTATTTCTGTTTAGGGGGTAGTGGTAACTTCACCAGAAACAGCACTTACGAGACAAACCTCAATCGCCTCCTTTCCTCTTCCTCCTTTAACACAGCAAATGATTACGGGTTCTACAATTTTTCATCCGGCCAAGGCTCGAACAGAGTTAACGCAATTGCACTTTGCAGAGGAGATGTGAATTCAGGTGATTGCATCAGCTGCATCAATAACGCAACCGCTGCGCTCAGAAATCTCTGCCCCAACCAGAAAGAGGCAATCATCTGGTATGATAAATGTATGTTCCGCTACGCAAATCGCTCCATCTTTGGTGTTATGGAAACCAACCCTTCGTTCTACATGTGGAATGTAAATAACGTCACGAATGTGGATGCTTTTAATCAGGCCCTGGGTTCTGTGTTGGATACCCTAAGAAATAACGCTTCATCGGGGACTTCCCTTCGCAAGTTTGCAACAGGAAGTGCAGAAGTTTCAGCTTTCCAAACGGTATATGCACTTGTTCAATGCACTCCTGATTTGACCGAGGTTGACTGCAGCTCTTGCTTGTCTCGGGCTATTGGATTTATTCCAGTATGCTGTGACAGAAAACAAGAAGGCAGGATAATTGGGCCTAGCTGTAATTTAAGGTTTAAGGTTGAACGTTTCTATGATCTTACCAATGCTGATATACAAATACCATCATCACCGCCACCAACACCAGCATCCCCACTATCTCCCCCGCTCTCAAACGATACCACAAGTACAACAGGTACGCTTTCTGCTTTGTTTTGTCAATTCAACAGTTGTTTCTTTCCCAAATAAGAACGTCTACCTCAGAATATCAAGAATTTCTCCGTCTTGTATCAATGGGATGTGTGCCTGTAAAAATTTTCTTTTCCTAGACAACAGAGAAAAGGGTTTCTCTAATTTAATTAATTAAATTAAGAGTAGTTCCAAAGTTAACTATTTCAGCACTCTTATAGAAAACGCATTTTTTTAAAATTTTGCAGGAAAAAAGAGTAATTCATCTCGAACTACTATTATCATAACCGTCTCGGCCGTCGCTTTTGCGGTACTTCTCATTTCCTGCTGCGTCTGCATCTTTTTAGGGGCGAGGAAGTCAAAGGTGAATGCTGAAAGTAAGTAAAGAATCGGTTTATTGATTTTCATTTTTGTTTTTTGTGTGTCAGTGTGTACTTGTTCTTTTTCCTTTCGGAACGTTGTTAATGAATTTAGCTCGTGACTAAATCTAATGTTTACTTGTTTATGTTTTTGTTCTTTTGTTACACCTCTGAAGAGCGTGAAGCAGCTGAAGCCGTGGATGAAATCACAAGTGCAGAGTCCTTGCAATATGATTTCAACACCATTAGAGCTGCAACAAATCACTTTTCTGACGCAAATAAGCTTGGACAAGGTGGATTTGGGGCAGTTTATAAGGTAAGACGATAATGATCATCCGTAAGAAATAAAATGGGTATGCAAGTTCAATAGGCATATACATATATAATTCATTCTGATATCTTCTCAGGGCACACTTACCAATGGAGAATTAATAGCAGTGAAAAGACTGTCTACAGAATCCGGACAAGGAGATCTTGAATTCAAAAACGAAGTTCAGTTATTGGCCAAGCTTCAGCACAGGAATTTGGTTAGGCTTCAAGGTTTCTGCCTAGGAGGCAATGAAAGGCTTCTCATCTATGAGTTTGTGCCTAACGCAAGTCTGGATAAATCATTATTTGGTATGATATATCGGTGTATTATAGAATGTATACTACAAAGCAAAAGACCAACATCCATGTTTTACTTTATTAATTAGGATTCGTACATTTATGGTGATGCAGATCCGGTTAACCGTACATATTTGAATTGGGAAAGACGATACAAAGTCATAAGAGGCATCTCTCGAGGACTTTTTTATCTTCATCAAGATTCTCTACTTAAAATTATTCATTGTGATCTCAAAGCAAGCAATATATTATTAGACGCAGAGATGAATCCTAAAATTACAGATTTTGGCATGACAAGATTGGTTGCAGTTGATCAAACTCAAGGGGTTGCTAATAGAATCGTGGGAACATAGTAAGTGTTAGAAATCTTCTGAGTCAATAATTACACTTTTAATTGCATATACTATTATTATTTTTGTTAAACTGCCTTCCCATCATGTGAATAAAAGAAAAATCTTGGCTGATGCATGACCGATGATCATCCTCACTTGAACAATTCAAAAGATTGGTAAGTCATGTGTCCCTTTTTTCCACAAGGAAAACTAATTTTTCTTTTATTAACTTGTAGCGGATACATGGCGCCTGAATATGCAACGCATGGACAATTTTCTGTTAAGTCCGATGTTTTTAGTTTTGGTGTGCTACTTATGGAGATTTTAAGTGGTCAAAAAAATAGTGCTTTCCATAATGGGAGTAATGTAGAAGATCTTCTAAACTTTGTAAGTATTCCTTTGTCCTCAAGCATGAGATTGTAACTCATATGATACTTGTCCAAAGCATTAAAAGAATTTACTGTTTAATAATTTGCATGAATTAAACGCTGCAGGCTTGGAGAAATTGGAAGAATGGGACAGTAATGGATCTTGTAGATCCCAGTTTTAGAGATGGTTCAAGAACTGAGCTGATGAGATGCATCCACATCGGGCTGCTTTGTGTTCAAGAAAATGTAGCTGCGAGACCAAACATGGCTTCGGTTGTTCTGATGCTTACTAGCCACTCTGTCACTCTGCCACTACCCTCACAACCTGCATTTTTTTGCACAGCAACACTCAATCAGGGATGCTGTGGTCGCAGCACTTAAATTCAGGGGCAACACAATCCAGTCAATCCAGAAATGAAATTGTGGTAGTCTCAAAAAATGAGGTTTCAATTACCGAGCTGCATCCAAGATACCAAGCTGGTCAAGTTTGTAAGCATTTTTGTGTCAACATTCAGTACCATTATCATTCATGATTGTTAGAAATTCAGTGATTGTCAGTTTGAGCGGATTACCCTTAGACAATCCTTTTCATGTGATCAATTTGTTATAGATGAACAAATACAAACAAAAAAAGAATAAAAAAATTGAAATCTCCCTTTTTTTTTTCTTTTTTGACGGACAATGTGATTGACTTTTGGCTCGACACATGAGTGCCACACGGAAATAAAAGTAAAACTTTTTGTTTGTTTTAAT